AAGGGAATTTATAATGCTTAGCCTATTTTATTGTCAATTAAGCTAATGTTGGTGTAAATGGTTGTTGTTTTATACATAAGCTTCATGTGAGATACATTAGTTAGGTATCATTGTTTCTGAACAAGTGATTTCATAGTTGATTTTTTTAAAATCGTAATCTATGAAGAAAACAAAAAAGATTCTATTTCGTGAGACTTCTATATTCCTGCACTTACTTAGAATTAGTTGTTGTTGTATAATGGTTTATATGAGATAATTATTATGTTATAGCTCCATATATCCTCTTGATTTGCCAACTATAATAATCATTGAGGCTAGACGCCTTATTATCTCATGCTCTTAGATGAAGCAAGCGTCTATCTTTGGTCATTGTGCTTTCCTAATTATTTATACATAAAAGGTGAGCCCCATGTAGAGTTTTAGTACCCTTGCCCAATGGCAAACATTCTAGAAACTTTTAGTTGGGCCAAATTATAATTATTAGTATTTTTACTCTCATCCTTTTTTTGGATATATTATTTGCAATTTACATTTATATGCCCATAAATATCATGACTTTACTCCATTAGTTTGAATCACCTTCTGTTTAGGAGTTTATTTTACTTTTTTTTCCTTTCTCCATCATAGCATATCACAGAACTTGCCTTTTTCGCTTTTCATTTCCAATCTGTTTGTTTGTATTTTTTTCTGCTCGCCTAACCCTTCTTGACTAATTTTGAATTATTTGCTGTTTGATAATGTGGTTATGAGTTTCGTTGTTTTGTTTTCTTTTTTCTATCATAGCACTTCGCAAAATCTGCTTATTTCACTTGTTCATTTTCAGCTCCAACTCTACTCAAAACTATATGCATTAAAATTAATGCAGTTATCTCTGCTGAGTCCACTATTTTTCTAGTGGATTGTGATAAAACTGGCCTAAAGTAATGATCCTATTGAGACTAGGTTTCGTTCTCTAAAATATGTAATGATATGGTTTGGTTTCTCACGTCTTTAGACATTGGTACTTGTTTTTTTCTGATTTTGCTACAGTTGATTTCCCTATTGCACTAGAATACTGATCCTCGACTTTCAGCATATTATTTTCTTCTGCTTTGAAGTTGCCTGCACTGTAGATCAAAATGTTGTCTTGCTACTGTAAGACTGCCATGGATTGTTGTCTTCTTATACCTTCTACTGTATAATTTCTTTTGTTTCACATGTTTTGCTTCTCTGTTGCCTTGTTTGACTATTGCTCCTGTTGTGTGTTTCCTTCTATGTGAGTTCTGCAATGTTGCATCCTTATGAATTTCTTAATTTAGCTTGATTTTATCGCCAAATTATATGCATTACCACCAGTTGCAGTTAGCTGATTTCCTTCTTCATATGCCTTTCCTCATGCAGTATGCTGCAGTTGCTCTTTTTCATTTATGTACTTTATAATTGCCTTTTACATGTGTGATTAAGGTTTCGTCAAGTTCATTGTATTTTGATTTTTTTTTTTCTGTAATGAGTATCTTAGAAGTGTTGTCAGGGTTTTGTTTGTTCTCAGCTTTTTTTGTGAAATTTCATTTTTTTTTATGACTTTTTATTTTTTATTTTTTTTTTTTGGAATGAATTGTGTTTGTTCTTTTATTTTTCATTAATAGTTGCAAACATTGCACAAAGTTGAAAATTATGAATTGTGTTATTTTGTAAGGTTTTGTAAACTAGATCATATATTGAACTGGAAGGAGAGATCCAGGATTCGAAGATTTGATTAGAATTGAATCGGATAATATAAATAATAAAATTATTTAATATGATTTAAATTATATAATAATTATGTAACAATAATATTTTCATGAAATCAATATACAATATTTTAAATCCAAGCATTTCACCATGAAATATTTTGAATATGTTTCTAGATAAAACCTTTGGGGCATAATAGTTTGGTCATGTTTTTTGTATATGGTCATATGTTCATGCAAATGCTTGGAAAAATTTCTGGAGTACTTAGTACTAGATTTGAACGATAATAACATTAAAATTAGGATAAATTTCACTTGTCACTCTTTTTATTTGTAGGTCGTTCAGCTTTAAATTAAGACATATGAATTTAATTAATTTATTTATTCTAAATAATTTATTTCTATCATTTTGATCAAAATTAAAAAAAAAATCATAAATTAATCGATATTAAAATTGGATGGTCCATCAAAAACAAAACAGGTTCACCAATTTTCTGGTTAAATCATCACCTCTACCTGGCTTTGTGTGAAATCGGTTTTAGAACTACATTGAATCGGCCAGAGAAGCAATTCAAAGGCGAATCGGTTGGAAATTGATCCCTAAACTTAGAGACAACCTACAATAAAGTGTAGAATATAAGGGAGCTCAAAGATCTTTTCTATGTTATTGCTCTTACATTTTGTTTCAGATATATTATCTACAATAAAATTGAGGTATGAATAAAATGTTACATTAATATTTTATTTAATAGTAAAATGTGACATTAATATTTATTATCTTTTATTGTTTAAGTTTGCAACTAATTTTAGGAAAGGAACATTTGTTGTGTTTGCCTCAAGCTATTCTTTCACCTTACCTCCTTAATTTTGCCTTTCAGAAGGCATCTTAGTTTGCTTGTTTATTTGTTACATGCTATTCTACTTAAAATTTGAAATGGAAATTCTGTGATTCTTATAAAGTTGACCACTTTAATGTGAAACGATAGGTCATGTTATTCTTCAGCGCACATGGAGTTCTACTTAGCTATGTTGAGGACTTAGCTATGTTGAGGATGCTGCTGGAGATCCTTACAGAGATCAGATGGAGGATTGTATCAGTTTGATAATGGATGAGTTGAAGTCAAGGAGAGTCATGAATAGCCACACTTTGGCCTGTCAGGTGCATTTTGCCTTTCTTTTCATATGATTTCTATCTGATGTTGTAGGAGCCATTCTAACTCCACTCCAAGTGATTGTTTGGGTTCATTTTTTTTTTCTTAAGTTTTTTTTTTTAAAAAACATGTTTGATTGCTGTATGTTTTGCATGTTTTTTTTAGTTTAAAAACAAATCAATTTATTTTTAAAAAATACTCAAAATAAATTTTTGAAGTTTGGAGTGTTTTTAAAAATAATTAAATATATTTTCAACTTACCTAACAAATTTTATCTTAAATAAATATTAAAAAAATAATTAATATTTTATCTTAATAAATATAATCTTCTATTTTTTCTACTATTTTCCTTAATAGTTATGAATCTAATTCTGACATAACTCCCTCTGAATCCAGCTCTGTTAGCGAGCACATAAAAAGTTTGGAAGAAATCGACATGGAGCACAAGAACTTGGCTCTAGAATCTGTCATCACAAACTGGGGTAGGGTGCCCACTTTGGGTTGCACTTCTTCCTTCATTTCAGATCTAGCTGATGCCGTCATCGAGGCCATCCCTTCTGCCACTACCATCTCAGCTCAAAGAAATTACGCTCATCACAATGACAAAGACACCATGAACTATATCCTTAGCTTCTTTTTCGGTTCACTTTTCGCGTTTTTCTTATTGTTGTCGCCTCGAGTGTTCTCTTTGTTTAAGAGCACATTCCATTAATATTATGCAGCCTGTTTGGCTTAGATGTTGAGTGCTTTATTTCTAAGCATAAGGTCCAGCACACACAGATGAGTGCATGAGTTATAGAAAAACAAAATTTATATGATAACATTTTGTATTAATGTGCCTATGTGCCTATTTTTTGAATTGGTTTGAGGCAGATGGGCAAAATTATACTTCATCAATACGAAGTATATGATACTTTATGTATGAATATCATCATCATCATAAACATTGATTCTTCCTGATGATGGACAAATTATACGAGAATTTTGTACACTGACATTATACATGTACAAGGCTATATCTTGATGTTTCATTTTTAAGCTTTTAGTATCTGAAAGCATGATACTAAATACTGAAATAATTTTGCTGTTGCGCTATTTGCATTATATTTGGCTGCACTTGAATATGTATATTTCTTCTTCTGGAGCATTACTTTCATCAAAAGTTGGTTTTGGATTATAAGATTGTGGAATCTCAATATAAGTATGGGTTATAAATCATCATTGGAAATCTCTTGGCATTGAATAAAAATAGAATTTTTATGTATTTACATTTCTAACACCTAAGGCTTGATATTTACACATACAATACTTTGTTATTATAAATACATGCATGAAAACGTGTATTTCACTATTAAAAAGTTAGTAATGCTCTCGTGTTTTTTATGTGATGTTAAAATTTTGAATTTTAGGTATGTAAACATTATAGTTGAGGTTTTAGATGTGTAAATACATAAAAATTGTGTGACATGTTAAAAAAATTCAGTTTCAGAATGCTATGCATGTTCTACCTTTTGAGTTTATCAGAAGTCTTAGCATGACTGTTGTTGAAATCAGTGTGCATGCATGATGATTCATACATCATTTATGTAAATGGAGTAAAAATTGTCCAATTAGCCATAGCCAATACGTTGTGTTGGGATTTCTTTGACAATTGTGATATAAACAACATAACATAGTGAGATATGCTTGATGCTGTACTTCTTTAGAGATTATACTTTCATTTTTCATTTTTTTTTTCATGCATTAATACAATTATAGCAATCATTGCAGCAACAACAATCACACGAGTGTTGAACGAATACGATCCGAGTAATCATAAAAGTTAATCTGAATGGAACAATCGATCTTCATCGTCATGTAATCATTCAACAATGTTCAACGCATATGTTAAACACTTCCGACACATCAAAATATTCTTGAGGAAAAAAAGATTACAAGTGCTTGGGACTGCAAGCATAAAATAAATATCACATATAAATTATTTGTGAAATTCACATAACAATCAATAAGAATAAAATAAAAAATTCAAAACTAACTTATGATGAAGAATAACTACAAATTAATTTGATCATCCAATACAAATATTCAAATATTTGGGCACAAGATTATATTCAGCTTTCAAAGCTAAATAAACAAAAAATTAACCAAAAATAAAATAAAATTAGAATTGTTAAATTACACCCAAAAAAATGGAACTAAAATTGGATGTTGATTAATCAATACAAACACAAAAACTCTCAACATATGAATATGGCAAGGAGAGAATTACAAAAGCCTAAATTGTAAGAAAATTAAATTATTATTACAAAACTTTTGTAGAGCACAATCCATGTTGACTTATGCACCCTTAGTGTAGAAACCGCAGAAGCAACCTTGAAGAAAACTCTGATAATCAAATGATGGAGTGCTGCCTCTTCCATTGTTTGATTGAATACTTATCACTGCTAAATCAGCTCCATTTTGGATAAAAATTTACCAGGCAGCCATTGTTGATCACAGAGCTATTCTCCAGTAGTTGAAAAATATCAAATTTATCAGTCTTATACAGTAGAACTTTTCTCCATTAATGATTCCAAGAATGTCGCGCAAAGCTTTGTTAATGGTGGAAGATTATGTGATGATCCAGTAAATATAGTTTCCCAGATTCTTTCTGAAGGCATAAATGGAATTTCTGAAATGCTCTCTTCTCTCTGCATGTCAATTTCTGGGAGCTCCCCATATATGGATGTGTATCCGATGTGTTCTGAAGCACAAAATAGAAAATTTCAGACGAGAATCATGAAAAATAGGTGGTTAAAAAAGTAACAGAAATGTGTCTGCAGATTATAACCAAAATTATTATTATTATTATAGCATTTACATACATACCACACACTTATTACAGATTTACGTATCTAATAACTAAACCTTCGTATTTACATGCATGGCAATCAATTGGTTAAATACCAACATTATTAACTTTTTAAGGATAAAATACAAATTTAAATATGAAAAAATGGGTATTAGATATATATAAAAAATTGAGGTAGGTATGTAAATTCCTCTTTTAGTTACCTGGTTCTTCATCAGGAAATTGTCTTGTGCGAGCATTTCTGGCAGTCTGAACCTCTGCATGTGGATCAAAGATAACATATTGGTGATCACCACTGATGTAAGCTAGTAATGAATGGCTTCCTTCATCTGGAAATTTTGTATCATTAATTGATAAATCAGGGGAAATAAAAGCAAGGCCGCCTCCCTTTGCCTAAATTAATAGAACAAAAAAACATTATTAGAATAAAACAAGAACCTATGAAGTCCATGTATTTGATGAAAAATGGTAGCAGCAATCCTTCTTCATATAGTTTATAACAATCAAGTTCCTTTACAACTAACTACAAAACTATTAGCATCTAAGTTGATGCATCAAAAATATATCACCAATTTTTTTTCTCAAGCCTCATCATCCAATCAATATCGTTGAAAAATCATCTTCCTACAAGGATAATTATTTTGATACCTCTCAATTAAAATTTGATGCAAAACATGGCATATAAGAGTACATTTACAAAAGGTTTCTTTTATTCAATAAGAAAGCCAATAGCTCTCATAAATTAAAATTCTATGCCAAACATGGCACATACAAACAGAACATAAGAGCAAGAAAGTTATTTTTATTATTATTTATTTATTATTTATTTTTTTATGTAAGAGCAACAAAGTACCAGTTAGTGATAATATAACCACTAGAATCAGTGCATTATATTTGCTACATTTTGATCTGTATCAGTTTTCAGAAGCACAATTGAGATAACAGGACGAAAAGTTGTACCTTTCTGACCCCCCAGGTTGCTAGAGGGATGGGATTTTCCACTCCAAATAATAAAATTATCCCATCTGCGTCATTTTTACAAGCTTTGCCATGCAGATTGTTCACAGCAAGGATAGCAAAGTGAGATCCATCTTTTGCAGTGCAGATGGCTGAAACAAGAAGGTAAGAAAATGAGGCACTGCAGAGACAAAAATAATCATCCCAGACCAAGTCAAAAAGCTGGAATGCAAATATTTTGTTATATTTGTTAGCATTTGATTACATAGCTAACTGAATTAAGTTCTCACTATTATTTAAAAAGCTTGATTTATAAATTCAATTATAACCAAATTATTTAGGGATCATTCGGTTACTTGAAATGGACAAAAGTGAAAAAAAATCAATTTATGGTGCGTCATTTGGCTAGATGTCAACGGAAAACTTCCTCAACATATCTCAAAAATGCCGATTGCATTTTTCACAAATAAAAGCAAATAAAAACAACAACGTTTTCAAACCAAATGTACCAAAAGTTCATTACATTCTCACCTATTTTTGACAAATTTGCAAAGTAAATCTTAATAACTTATTACTGACAGCTTGTTCAAGTAAATCATTCTCTTTTAAAATTCTGAATCAATATTTTCATATTCTTGTACAAATAATTATTCTTTCATAATAAATGTCCACATCGGTAAAACACTAACTCACACAGAAAAAAATTTGTTAGCTCGAATTAGCTCCATATATGCTCTTTCATTATTGTTTAGTATGAAAAATGGACAAATAAGATAACTATCTCAAGCTAAAGGGATGAAAATGAGCACATTATTTTAGCTGCTAGGTTCTCTTTACTATTTCAAACTCATCAAATTCGCAATTCTTAACTTTAATTCCTACTGCTAACAACATTGCAGCTTGACCCCATTGAGCCCCTCCCACATAAAAGAACAAAAAACACCATTATAACTAAGAATGGGGATGCATATGCAAACTCATATTAAAGCAAGGATTCAACAAACCTTCTGCAGAAATTTGGTAAGACCAATGCATAGATAGCTTTGACAAATTCCAAACGGCCAACTGTGTTTTCAAACCCCGTGATATTGAAACTAAATATTCAGAATGAGCAACAAATGACAGATCACAGATTGGCTGCAAATAACAATAGACGGTTTAAAAGTTACATTCAAAAAGTACATCAATAAAAGTCATCAAACAACAACAACAACAACAAAGCCTTAATCCCACTACGTGGGGTCGGCTACATGAATCATTTTTCTCCATTGCGTCCTATTTAGTGTCATATTTTCATTTAGTTCTAGTAAATTAATCAATAAAAGTCATCATTAACATAAAAAGCTTATTTTTTTACAGTCGGGTAAGACATTAAAATTAAGTGCCGTTTGGGATCACTTTCAGTTTTTTTTTTTTAATAGCTTCTTTTTTGTTTTGTTTATTTTTAAGTTTTAATTCGAAACAAAATATATTTGTCATGTTGAATATAAAATAAAGTTAATTTTAAAAACACAAGAAAAATACATCAAATAAAAATACTTTTTAAAAATAGAAATAAAAAATAAAAATAAAAAATAAACAAAATTTTATCAGACATGCTCTGAAATAATAAAGCATTACCGCAACTGTATTTCCAATTACAGCTATAAGAACATTCTTGTCAGGATCCCATAAGGTAAACGCAGTCTCAGCTGCAACTGCTAGTACAGAGCCGTCGGGGGAAAATGTGGCCGCAGTCATGGGCACATTCCTACAAGTTCAGATTTCCATCAGAAGGCAAGAGAATGTAAGAATAAATTGAGAGAATAAGAAGGCCATTGAGCATTTAAGAGACCATATAACGTCAAATATATCATTTTGATAAAGCTGTAACTTTCAACGTCATTTTCACTATTCGACTCTTTTACTTTTGGTTCCTTGATGTTGTGACTGGTGACCATATTGATTTGAATTCTAAAAAATGCACTATTGTAAGCAATTGGAATTACATATCCAGATGAAAACAAAACTTTTAGACAATGAGTATTCTCTTTGGAGCCATTTGGGATTACTTTTATTTTATGTTTTCTATTTTGTATTTTTATTTTGTTTTATTTATGTAATGCATGCGTGTCATATTGAAAATAAATCAACTTTTAAAAATATTTTAGTTGTTTTGAGCATTTTTAAAAACAAACTCATCAGTTTTTTAAAATTAAAAAATTAAAAAATATGAAAAATACAACAAACAAAAACATAAAAAAATAAAAAAAAACAAATTTGATCCCTAACAAGCTTTTCATTTTTAAAAGCAAATTTAACTTAACAAGTCTAGGCTTTACCAAGTAAGATGACTGCATACTATTTCGAACATCATTTAAGTGTGCTATATCTCACAACAATCGAGATTACTTCGCTTTCTTTGTGGAAGGTTAGCACAATTTTCCAAACAAAGCATCAATATTTTCATTCTTGTTTATTTTAGTTTATTCATTTTGATTGGTTAACAGCCCCCAAGAAACTTGAAGAGAAGCATCGGCAAGGTTAACAAAGAGCTTAAATGATAAGAAAAATAAGAAGGCTTTTTATAAGTATTGTTCATTATTTTTAATATGTATAGTTTATGTACTAATTGGTTGGAACAATGATGCATGCACTCAACGTGCATCATATAGAGAATTCCTCGTGCACTTGGAATTGCATGATCCACTAATCTGAAAATTTATGGCAACAAACTTAAGGCAATATTATTTGAATAAAAAAGCTGTTAATAGAAGATAAATCCAATAAATAAATAATTATTATTTAGCTAAAAAAGTTAAATCAAGTCTTTGAAAAATGTAGCAAATCTCTATGAATCGCATTACTCCTTATCTTGATTGACAATTTTTCATATGATAAGAAACTACCGAGAAAATTCATAAAAATCTATTGAAATCCGGTAGTGCAGAATTATAATCTACAAAAGCGAGTAGAAAAAAGAATATTACTTGTACGAACCAACAGATTGGCATCTCCATTCATATTTATGATGTGTCTGACCTTCTTGAGGGGATTTGGTAGAATTAACCCACACCTGCATCATAAAAAAGGTGCAGCTATAAATTTAGATAAAGGGTGCGGAGAACTTCATAAATAGCTGATTAAAAATGCTACCTTGAAATTTCCACCCAAGGAAGAGCTTACAGCCATGGAATGCCCAGGACGGAATGCAATAGCAGAAATTTGTGCATTACTGTGAAAAAAAAAAACAAATTCCAGCAGGTTATTTTCTAACACACACACACACATATGTATGTATGTATCTATAGATATATAGATATTTATGTATGTATAGATATGTGTATGTGTATATGTATGCATGTATGTGAGTGTGTTTGTGTGTGTGTATAATTATATGTATGCATGTATGTATAATCAAGGAAATATTAAGTATAAGAACTGAAAGGTAAAATATTTCTACACATTTAAATTAATTCGTATTTGCAGTTCCTTGCATAACAAGAAAATTTCAAAATCTATATAGCTTGAACTGAACCATTTACAAGTTATGAATGCCAATCAAACCACTGTTCGAATCTCGATCCGGCAAGAAACAAACCCCTTTTTCCATTAAACTGAACACAGATTAAACTTAATATGGATTGGGTTGGTTAGAACAACCCGAAAGGTAAGAGATTCCTTTTATGTGTGCAGCCTACTTAGCCTAGTGGTTGGGTGTTTTGTCTCCAACCATATGGACTAGAGTTTAAGGCCTAGCACATATGGGTTTGTGCATGAGTTAAAAAATTAAAAAAAATAAGAGAGAAAAGTAAAAGTTAAGCAGTGGTCGGATTAAAAGAACTGAATTTGGCTCTGACAAATATTTGCAGTTTTCACATTTGTCATCACAATAAACAACTGAATTAGTGGTTCCTGCTTTTCCTTTTTGGATAAGTGTGATGACCTGACAGAATGCTTGGGGCGGCTGATGAGTTTCACAAGTTAGCATGATCTGTAGGAAAAGTTTGAATTATTTATGATTTTCTCATAAATCTATTTGTTTTTCAGTCCTCCAATTCCAGATTCAGCCTTGTTCGAAGCAACCCATTATTATGCGAAAATGGAGTTAGAAGCAGTGTGATGACGGCAGCTTACTGGGGAGCAGAAGTGACGTATGGGAAGTTTTAAAGTGTAGTTGCATAAAATAGGGGAGATGTTAGATATGTAAATAATAGGGTTTGAGATGGTGCGGCTGCAAAACTATAAATCCCCCTTAAATAAATTGAAGTCATTTGCAAATCTTTTAGTCACTCTCTCTCTCTCTCACTCACTATTCTCCCTCTCTCGCACTCTCTATATAGATACACACACACATACACATATATATACATATATTTTCGTTTGTCTGTTTGATTTAAATTGCTATAAAATGAACATTAATGTTGCTAATTTTAATCAACCATATAAAAAAGTTGTAGAAATATAAATACATAAATTTTATGAAGCTTTAGTATCTTTAGTATGAAGTATTAGAAATAATGGTGTAAATTTAATGGAAGAAAAAAAGTGATTTCCAAACATTATATTAAAAAGAGATTTTTAAACATTAAATTCCCTGGCTTTAGTTTGAATGCAAGGACATGCACACAAAGCTTCATTGAATTTAAATTACTTCCTCCGCAGCCCATACAAACATACTAAATATAAAATCATTCTTTTGGTAACATTCATTAACGAAAATCAATCTTGCTTGTTTGAAGATCAAACAAGTGTAGAATTAAATAAATATCCAGCCAGTTTATTAGAAGAAAAAATTACTTGTCATTATGATTTTGTGAGCTAAAAATCTGAAAATACAGGAAAATGGAATTTTCATTTGAATTGGTAAATTGCTTATAATAATTTTGCACCAATTATCATAAGTATGTAGAAACGGTCAACGTTGATTTTATACCTTATTATCATCAATTATGGACATGAAAAATCATATTCAAAGCAGGGTTTATTAGTGCATGTTTTTTTACAGATGAAACAATTCTAATTAGCGAGGACATCCATAAAAAGAAGTAAAAAAAATATAGTAGAAAACTTTTGAGGATAAGGGACTTAGAATAATAGAAAATTGCAAAATTTTATGAAATTCAATATTGCATATTAGTGGATAATGGGTATAATATTAACAATTATCACTCAATATTATTAGTAGATAAGAAAAAATCCAGGCACACGTTGAAACTTTTGTAAAATAAGAGGATCTCATAGAGACTTTAAAATAAATTTTATTAAAATGCAACTAGGTCAGCGATATTGTAGAGATCCAAATGTTAAGCCATGCAAATATCATTAACATTTGTGTGTAACGGAAATAAGAATGATAAGATGAATGAATGAAAAAATTCTCCCTTGAATCAACCTAGGAAAATCAATCTGAAAGTCAACCATTTAAAAATTTGGCAACCTATTCGTTCTATGATATATTTGCTCTATTATGTACCTATTTGTATCGAGTCTTTTGCATCGTAGTTGTTAAATTTTGTCCAATGATTAATAATGTATCATAATTATGATGATTAATGCTTATATAAGAGAGAGAGAGAGAGCACTCTCTATCAACCCCAGTAAAAAACATGCAGATTTAATGTCTGAGTGTATCTAACCTGTGAGGCTCAAAAATCACAGTAGACAAGGCATACTCTCCAAGCCGGGAACCACCACTCCAAAACTTCAGAGTCACAAGACCACCTAAATCCTCCTCAGGAAGCTTAACATCAACGGTGCTCATCATAGAGCCATCAGAAGAGAGAGCAATCAGAGCAACAAACACCTATGGAAAGTATATGCAATAAAATATCGGCATGAATAAGCAAGAATAGTCATATAGAAACTACAGATTTGGCCATTCATTACCCAAAATAAAAAAAAACAAATGCAACACCATTCTTACAAATAGAACCGTCCAAGCTAACCACTTAAAGCACTAGTTTTGGCACAAGGAATGTTATAATAATATCAATTTCATCCAACATTATAATCAAAGCCACTAAGAAAGCTCTATGAAACAATAAGAGTAAACCTTTAACATACAATCTAATATTGTTCAATTACTGAAACAATGTCAGCCTGTTTATTATATAACGTTAGTTTAAGAGCCGTTAAGTCATCTCAGATTTTATTTGATTGCTTGCAGATAAAAAGCATATTTGGAAAAGTGATGATTTTATTTCCGCTCATCATATATTAAATCAACATCATTACATTTTATAGAGTATTAAGCGTATTTTGTGAGCCTGAAGCCAATGTTGATTCCTAACTAAATCTTGCCGAATGAAAGAATTAGCACATTTTATCACCTTCAAAAATATGTATACTTCAAGCAATCAGATGGAGCAAGCAATCAGATGGAGGGTTATTTTCATTTGGAATAGCAAAAGATGGTTTCTTCAACTTAAAAAAAAAATGGCATAAATTCTAAACAATTATCAAAGAAAATAGCAAGAACAGCATTTTTAATTTTAAACAGCTCTTCCATACCTTATGAAATAAAGACATGATAATGCTACTGATATAGTGAAGTTAATCGTTTATAGCTACCTACACTGCTTCTAAAGACATGATAAACATTTGAAAACACATATATTCACACATTGGTTCCTATGAGGTAAAAAGCCTTAAACTAGACTCATGACCTTTGCTGCATCATTTCATGTTACTGCGAAAGGGAAATTCGATAACCAGCTCCATTATATCAATTAAAGTCCAGTAAGCGCCACAATACTGATATATTAGATTGTTGTCCCAAGAAAACTTTTATTACATTAATAGTTTAAAAAATTGTCAGCCATGTCTTCTAATACTTTCCATGTAGGGGCGGAGCCAGAAAATTTTTTCAGCAGGGGCACAAATTAATTCAAGCTTGAGACCAATATTAAAAGTTTTACTTTTTTTTTTTTTTTAAATAAAACTGATAAAATGTACTGACAAAGAAAAATTATGTGAACGCACAAAAAATTGATTTTTATTAAATAATAAAATAAAAAATTAAATATTATATAATTATTTTTTTTGCATCTTAAACTAATAATCATACAACTTATAATTTAGTTTGAATATCAAAATTTCAATCAAATTTAAAAAAAATTATATACACTAATTTAAACTTTGAAACTAATTTGATTTACTAGAAAATAAATTTAATATAAAATCAGTTTTTAATATATTTATAGCATACTTTAATATAATAATAATAATAATAATAATTATTATTATTATTATTATTATATATATATATATATAAAAAAAAGCCCAAGGGCTAATTCATTAAAGAGAAATAATACAGATAGGTTGTATGGGTGGGTCCAAAAATAGGCACCCAACTCACACGATACAACTCGCGGAAAAGTAAAAAATGGTACATATAAAAATAAAAAAACCCAAAACCACTATGGCGTTGAAAAAAGTGAGGGTTATCCCAATCTGGTCATACCTCTGGCTCTAATTCTCGGAAGAGATCCAGCTAACAAGTTGGTAAGGTGCGTACCATTACCCGAAATAACCAAAGTATCATCCATAGACTCCTGAGCTCAAGTAGATCTTCATTATTCTTCCTCCTGAAAGTGTAAACCTGTCATTCCTCATCCGAAGAATTAGTCTGATGGGGTGGTTGAGCTGTAGCAGAAGATGAAGCAGAATAAATACCAACTGTTGACCCACAATAGGTTCTAGTATATGTGAAGTATGAGGTGTCTCTACACCGGATACTTCCTGAAGAAGGGGAGTTGTGAGGTTCTCCTGATTATCAGTCTGAGCACTATCCTTTGTAGGTAATAGTCCTTTAGTATTGTTTTCTATGGGGTTTGAAAGTGACAATATCACATCCATCTCAGTAACAGTAGCAGCAGTATCATGGGGGGTCCACAGGGGCAACATTCACCTCCTGTCCGGTAGCATCCTCCCCGCATGGAACTAAAATGTCCAGAGCAGTGGAGTTAGACCCTTCCTTATTCACTTGAACCTTGGATTTCAAATTAGGGTGGAGCTTGTGGCATGCATTAAGGATAAGCCCAAACATCTTACAATGGGTACAATATGAAGGATTGTGTTCCATAACGATTTGTTGTCAATATCCATAATCAGTTGTGCCCAACCAGACATCAATAACATCAGGTAAAGTAATATCCCTTTCCACAAGTATTCTAATCACAAAATGTCTGGTTAGATTGAAAGTTGGTAGAACTAGCTTCATAGGATCCCCAAGGATGACCCCAATAGAATAGAGAACATGATGATGAAAAAAGTGCAGCTTGAGACCAGGTAAACTAAACTATACTGGTATATTTTAAAAAAGCCCAAGGGCAATTATATTAAGGAGAAAGGGATACAGATAGGTTGTATGAATAGACCCAAATAGACACACAACCCATATGGTACAATACACAAAAAGAAAAAAAAGAAAATTAAAAACCCAAAAGTAGATGGTACATAAAAGATCAACCACGTCGACCCACTTTAATTATGCCTCTGTCTCTAGTTCTCGGAAAGGAACCAGCTAACAGATTGGTGAGGTGTGTACCATTGCCCGAAGTAACCAGAGTATCATCCATTAGATTCTTTAGCTCTAGTAGATCTTCATTCTTCTTCTTCCTCCTGGAAGTGTAGACCTGTCATTCCTCATCCGAAGCTTGTTGCTCACTCGGATGAGGTGATAATGTTGTTGTAGAAAGATTGCCAACAGTTGTGCCAACAAGTGTATGTGAGGTAAGAGTTGTCGCCTCCACCCCTGATACTTCCTGAAGGTGGGGAGCTGCAAAGTTCTCCTTATTATCAGTCCGTGTAGGTAGGGGTCATTCATTATTATTTTTAGTAGGGTTTGAAAGTGTAAGGGCCATCCAGCTTCCCATCGATCGCAGAAACAGTATCTTAAGGGGGAGGGTCCACAGGGGCAATAGAATTAGACATCAAATCTTGTCCTGTGGTAATTTTCTCTCCAGGTGGAACAGATATATCCTTAGATCCATCCTTATTCACTTGATCTTTCGATTTCAAATTAGGATGAAGCTTATGACATTTATCTTACAATGAGAACAATAAAAAGGTTTATGCTCCATGACGAATTGCTGCCAATATTCATTATACGTTATGCCCAACCAGACTTCAGTACATTAGACAAAGTAATATCTATTTCCACAAGTATTCTGGTCACAAAAGGTCTGGTAAGGTTGAAAATGGGTAAATCAAGCTTCATAGGGTCCCCAAGTACGACACCAATAGAGTAAAGAACCTGATGATGAAAAAAGTGCAGTTTGAGACCAGATAGACTAAACCATACCAGTACAGTATGAGGTAAATTAGGAGACAACTTGAGTAGCTTCATTATTTTACCAGCGATGTTAAGATATTTTTTAGAGAAAATCTGAGTGTAGTTAACTGAATCAATACATGTCTCTCATTCATGAGCCTCACTTTTCACTAATTTGAGGTCATCAAAACTTTTCCTGATAACTTTCATAGGTGAGTGTCCCCACTGAAATTTCTCAGTAAGAGCAAACTTGAATTTGTTAGTTAGCATTGAAATTTCTGACGCAGAGAAAAAGAGTGTTTCCTTCCCACTTTTCCTGATTGCATTCTCGATAAAGGAGCGGTTACCTCACCTGTACCATATGATACTCCTTATAACTTGAAGGGAAGACAACCGCTGTCTCCCCTGAGGATTACCCACCACGTGGGCAAAGAAGGTTTTGTCAGGTTCAACCGAAGAAGAAAGAAGCTTCATCTCAACAAAGAGAAGCCCTGCAGTCGGGCAGAGGGCAAAAAGGACGAGCCGAAGAGGTCGGGGCGTAGCTGCGCAAAAAACAAAACTGTAGATGAAATGTGCGGAAGACAGACACGAAACCGCAGCTCGACGAAGGAATCCACGCAGAAAAGAACCGCAGAAGTCGGATGGCGCGAAAGAGGAGACGATGAAACCGGAGGAGATGTCGAAGCCCTTCGACGTTGGGTGGAAAAGAGAAGACGACGATCACAAAGCAGATTGAAGTCCTTCGTAGCCGTCATCGAGCACCAGAGGATGGATTGAAGGCCGAAGTAATCAAATCAGGGTTTCGCCCGATGGAGAAACCCTAGCAGCGCAAATCGCCACCGATGCCATATAGACATGTATGTATATATATATAATCCTTATATATATATTAAAAGGAATGATAAAAAATGGTCAAAGGCTATTATACGAGCCTCCAACAGCCCCTAATGTGCCTAAAAATTCAAGTACCACCTCCATAAGGCCAATTGTGCCAAAGGGGATTCGAGCCCTCGACTTGAGAGGTTTCATACAATAGATGCCAACCAACATGATGGGATACGTCAAGCGCGCGAACCAACAGGATGGGGTACATCGCGCGCGCGCGCATAATATATATATATATATATATCATAATTTTAGTTATTAATTAAAAATACTTAAAAATTTTATTGTTAGAAAATAAATCACTTCAAATATAGACTATTAATCCATCTTCATTTATTTCAATTATATTTAAAATTGGAGGTGAATTCCACTATAGCTAGTACTTATCCTATTTTTCAATAATTTTTTTCAATATTTTATTTCTTCTTATCATTTAAAATACAGGGAGGTCACATACATGACCTCAATTCTAATGTATTTAAACATTTAAAACCGAAACTTCAACTTTTACATAAAGACCACCTTATCTATGGATAAAAAAGTGTATTGCAGGCCACCAGTGCCTGTAGTTACCAATGTTTCCATGGATGTTCCTGTCAAGTTTATATAACCCCCATAAAAAATATAAAAAAAAGTCTCAAGTTAACCAACTATTTGTTTATGGTTTCCACTTAGTATCCACTAAATAGAGAAAGGACACTTCAACAAATAAATGAAACATAAAAGAGCACATAACATAAGAAAATAAGGATAATATTTTTCAAAGAGAAGAATGAAAGAGGATATCTATTGATAATTAAAACAACATAAGAACAAGTGATAATTTATTGCGGAAGTGCGAAATCAATTACCGTGACATCATCAACAGGTTGGAAGTTCCTTTCACATACTTGCACCTGGAAAGAACGAACAATGAGTTCATCAATCATATAAGCTTGATGATTAATCTAACTTTCACAAAGTTAAGATAAAGTCAAAGCCATTTCCCAGGTAGCACACCTGTGAAACTTCCATGTTGTCAAACAAGCTAAAGAATTGTATACAATAATCTTCAGTACGCAGTGCTACTAATCCAGCCTCATTATGAAAGGCAAATTCATTGGTTGAGCATTCACACGAATCTGGAAATGAGAAAGGCAACTGAAAACAGACTGTGAGAACACATGTCTACAATAACCAGAAACCAAATCAATGGTGATGAATGTAAATCAGTAAATTAGTTTACTTTTCAGAAGCCATAGCTGAAATAAGAAACATGAAGAAGGAATATTACGTCACAAACCTTAATTCCTGAAATAGACTTGATGATCTCCATTGTGGGCATCTTTACCAGATGGATTTGATTATCTGAACAAGAAAGCTGAAGATGTTGATGTCAGTAAAACCTAAAGAAGCAGACATGAATTTAGCAAAAATTGATCAACAAAAATTTATGATAACCAGGAGCCTATAAATGTGCCCAAAGGAATCCTTCTAAAGAGATGAATTAATAATTCTGACCTATATCATTTAATAAATGCATCGCTGAACCTTGAAAAAAATAAATCTACTAGCTGTCTACGTACAAGAAGACCAATAGAAATGTGTGCATTACTTTAAAGTATAACAATTTTCATTATTGAAGTAAAGAAAGTTGATTTGACATTTCAAAAAAATAAAAAAATAATTCTGGTTGATGGAATAATTGACACCTACAAAGAAAAGCATGTATTCTACACTAAAAATTGGGTTTTTATCATTTATGTCCAATAGGTTTAGCAAAATATAATATTAACTCCATGATAATGGGTAAAACGTCAAATCTCCATTGAGTTCATTATCACGCACATCCTTGAGCTTTGGCTAACTCTTATATAGTTTCCTGAGGTGAGGTCCCTGAGATTTGTGAAAATATCAAATCCCTCCCTCATATTATCTTTTCTATACAAAGGGTAGGTTACTCATTTAATATTTTGAGAAAAAATTCCAATTTCCAAATAATTAAATATGATTCACCCACAATCCTCAACCTCAAAAAATTTTGTCCCTAACGCTCTTTCTCTGTGATTACTCATCGAACATATTGGTGGAAGAACTAATTAAATATTTTTTAAAACACTGACGTGGGAATTGCCTTATATACATCACTAATTGATATTCTTATACGACATATGAAATATTTTTTTTATATTATCGCGGTACAATTTAATTTCAGATTTATTTTGAAACATTGAAATATTATAAAAGATTTACAAAAAAATTCAAGTATCACAAATATCAAATTTATCGTGAATTATTATAGAAGTTTAACTACAATTGCAGGTTGGTTCACAACATCAATAATTTGAATCTAACCAAAAAAAAACTTCAAAATTATAAAAAATCCATTGCTTCTTAAAATTATAACCAAACTGCCTGCAAAATTTTGCCTTAAATGAAATGTTAAAGTTAAAAATAAAAAAATTTTCAACAAGCCTGTGAACTTGATCGATATCAGCTTTTTAGGAATGAAAAGCCACTGAACATGACAAGAATGATTTTTACAAAACCATTTCCATTTCAACAAATACACGCACATAACATAATTTTCATACTTTTACTTTTTTTATGCAATTGTTAACTTTCATTTTATGATTTTAAAAAACTTCTTTGATTATATTTCTATTAGATAAAAAATATTTTAAAAATATTTAATTTAACTATTAAAATGAATATGTGAAATAAAATAACAGTATATGACTAACAAAAATTACTCCAAATAAGAATTTTCTGAATCAGCTGAATCACTTCTACCACTAAAATCTCAATGCGATACTTCCACTCTTATCTCTTCAACTGATTTGGAAATGTTAAATGAGTTTCAGCAAATTTTTTTAATGCTAAATGAATAACCAAACCTCTGTTTCAACTGAAGTTAGATGAAAAATTAGCATAAGATACATTTGATATTCTGCCAAACACAGAGAACTATATAACAAAAACTAAAACTTCTAAATCTCTAGGGGCAAAATTAATAATTGCTCTTGAGAGTACAGTACAATTCATAAGAAAAGTAATAAATCACATTTAAACAAATAGCATTGTTGTAGATCGATACAATCACAATGGGAGATGCCACTAAGGGCTGATCTTTTAAAAACTAATTAACACTTAATATTCTATCGATACAGTTAGAGGCTAAGTGCTCCTAAACAAGACAGAATCAATTATTATCATGTTAAAATCAACCTGAAACATAGTAATAACCATAATGAATGAGAATTGAACATGGCTACAGCCCCCAATATCAAATCCATAATCATACAAAAGGCCAAAAGGAGAATCAGATCCTGAACACCAATCTAAAACAAGGCCATATTAGCCCACATAAGCAACATTGAAAATAACATAAAATGAATTCAATTACAAGGCAAAATCAAATGATTAAAATAAACATAGTTTCTTACACACGAAAGATTGGGATCTGGTGAATCTGTGAAATTTATGAGTGGAGCTCCTAAACGAGGTTTAAACTTCTTCTTTCCGGTGTCAAGCTGCCAAACAACAATGACTCCTTCCTTTCCACCTAAAAAACTAGATTTATTTAACTAATGTGAAAAACAACATCGCTATAAAGCTATATCAAAGACAAGATATTAATGCCAATTAAGAAATAAATCAATCAGAGCAATATGTGTCTAATAGTACTGAATATTATGCTAATAAAAATAGCCCTCTTAAGAAAGAAACCAAGACTCAATAGAATCCATCAAGTTCATCTTTTCTTGTTTCCATGAATCGGACAATAATGTTAATTTCAAAATCAAGAATTATGTTTAAAGGCCACCAAAAAATAGCATTAACTTCTCCACATCTAGGTTTCTTGCTTATAAAGAGGCTCAACCAACAATTTTAAATCATTAAGAGATGATTTAGCATACCTGAATACAAATATGCACCATCAGAGGAGAAGTAAAGAAATTTGACTTCATTTGCATGCCAATGCCATGTTGTACATGAATCAGCATCGTCGTCATCTCTTACACCAGGCTTTTCTTCCTCATCTCTAGCTACCAAGTTTTTTGAGAACTTTTTCTGCCCAAATTCTCTCCATATTAATACTCTTCCAGTTACATCACCTCCAGCTACAACTCTCTCCGTTGGATGGAATGCGAATGTGCTCAAGTTCTTTGTGTGATGCAGTCTGATCTTTTTTACTTCATCGCTTCTAAATCGCTTGCAAGGGATTTGCCAAACAAACAGCTTACGCTTCTTTATAATGCCAATAAACTCTCCTGACTTACTCACATGTATCGGTTGTGGCTTTCGAGTCTAAAAAAAAAATAAGGCATCAGCATTGATACATTGAATAGCAATTTTTTATGCTTAATATTAAATTAAATAAATAAGCCACTTCAAAGAATGAGACATGAAAAAGTAGATGAAATGAATTTCCATGTAAGACTTTACAAAAAAATTTCAACAAACATTTATAAATATTTCACAATGATCTAGCGATAAAGTTAGTTTAAAAAAGAAAAAAAAGGTGCAAAACCCAAACTTAACTGAGGCACGCAGACATGGGCTTCTAAATTAGACTCTTAGTTGTGCTCCAAATGAGGAAAAATCATGATTCTCTCCGAAAAAAGGTTAATATAACCAAATTATCATCGATGAAGTGGCTAAGATTTATATAGATCAAACGAAAAAATAAGACTTCTTGAAGGCGCAAGCCTCTATAATTCATTATCCTTCCCACTTAGGATTGTGCTCTCAATTAGGGACATCATCATATGTGGATGGATGATAAACTTTGTCAACATGAACCCCAAGTTTAAAAATTAGAGAGTCCATGTTATGACAATACAACATAAATCATGGAGCTATATGTTTTATATGTATAGAATAAGTATGTGAGTCAGCTATGTGTTGCATAGGAAAAGGCAACTCTTTCC